TAGATGCTTTAAATCTTGCAGAGATTTACTATGCCTATGTCAGTGGCCTGGTCTACTCAGGCGTCCATTGAGGAAATCTGTAAAGTGGCAGCTTGGTCCTCACCTTCCTCCTTCATCAGGCATTATAAGTTGGACAAGTTTGCCTCTTCGGATGCAGCTTTTGGCCGGAAGGTGTTGCAACAAGTGACTTCATCTAGGGAGACACAAGCCCATACTAGTTCCCCCCCGTAGGGACATGAGTGGCTTTGGTATGTCCCACCAGTGGATTCTCCACTCATCATGCTGGAGAAGGGGCATTGTCTTACCTGAACGCCTTTTCTCAGCATGATGATGGAGAATCCACACCAACCCTTTAAGGGTCACCTGGTCCTGTGTCAAAGGGGAAGAAGGAACCAACGCTTCGGACTTCGTCGGTTGCTTCGCCTTGGTCGACAACTGGATACAGTCCAGCCCAGAGGGAGGCATGGCAACTTTCTGACTTAGTCTCATCTGAGCAAGAAGGCTGAGATAACCCACCAGTGGATTCTCCATCTTCATGCTGAAAAAAGGCGTTCAGGTAAGACAACGCCCCTTTTATTTCTTTTCCCTTCCTTAGACATGCCAAATTGTAGTGAATAAATCAGCCATTTCCTTTTGAATTTCAGCAGTGCAATTTTTTTTGGGGGGGGGGAATCTGTAAATCATATTGAACAACTTCTGATATATATCAAATACAGTATAAATGCTAAATCAATTAATATTTTTATTTCCTCTATTTAGAATTGTTTTTCTAAGTAGCAACTAGTTACATGGGCATACTTTAAAATCTTCTATTCTATCTGCGATTTATTCCACTTGCAATGGAATTCTGCATTCAGTTACAGAGTTTTGTGGGAGATGCTTCCCAAATAATTTTAATCCATCATCCGGGCAGAAACATTGTCATTTAAGTACAACAGAACATGTTCCATAGTAAAGTGGGCCTTTTCTTGCATGACATTTAGTGTGACAGAAAGGGCAACCACCTGCACTGCTCTTTACAGCATAATCAAGACAGCATTTTAGGTCTAATTTTTGCATCCTGATTTTGCTGTTGGACCATTGTGCAACTTACAATCAAATCTCCAAATGTATTAACATTACCTCTTTAGAATTAATTAGTGGGATCTCTTGCAGAATTAGTTGTGTGTTGTAATTCAGACATATGAGTGCATTTATTTTTAGTTATGGGAGTGTCTCTCATACAGTACGAAACTGTAATATGAGAAGTGGCTTGCAGCAGTTTCTCAGTTTTTACTTTGCAGCGTTTCCTTGAATAACAATTGTGTATTTTCTACTTTTCGAAAAGGGGGTTAAAAATGTTTCCTTGATACTACTTTCATTGTACTGAATAATTCAAATCTAAGCTGATGATTCATTTTTTCTTATCTCAGTATATATCCAAGGATGCTATTTAATTTTACTTTGATCCAAAATTTTGCCCTCGAAGAAAGTACTGGTTGAAAAACTGGAGCAAAGTATTTTTTTGAGACAAGTGGCAAAATTTCAGAGCACCCACATCCTTCAACAAATGCAGCTTTGCCCTTATGAGATAAATTAAATGAATGAGTATCCAAAAGAAGAAATCAGAAGAAAACTTCATGTCTGCATACTAAGGGGGAAAAAAAGGCAAGCAATCCAATTGAAACCAGAGGAAGAGTTGTTTCCCTTTCTAAGGGAAGGAACTCTTCAAATGAAGATTGTTGAGTTTAGCTGCACAGGCCGGTTAATACCCATGAACTTGCAATTAAATGTGGAAGTGGTAGACAAAAGGAGTGGTAAAAGACGATATTGTCAGACTCTTTAGTGGTGGATGAAGGCAGAAACTTGGGAAATCCACTGAGCTGGAGTCATGAATAAAGATTCCCCTTTCCTGGGTTTTGCTTTTGGTGGGTTGGGGGGGGGCATTTCGAGGTCTCCATCATTCAGAAATGTTGCATTGGCAGAGGGCCTTTGTCCTTCCCTGCTGGACAGAGCTACAAAGGAAAGCTTTATTCAATTTTCATGCCGCCAAGCTGGCAGGCCCCTTTTTTCCCCTCCTAAACAGAGGGGGTTCCTTCCCCAGGCCAAGCCCTGGGAGTCTCTGTGAAGTCTGATTGTTGTTTGGCTTGGAAGTGCATTGTTTGCAGACTGAATTCTTCTTGATCGTTTGCCTAGATAGCTTTAACCGGTTCCTTTTTTTTTGTTACTGAAAATTACATGCACAATGTGATATGGGTTCCTTTTCTATCCCACTGCCATTCCATTTATTATTTCTTCCGTGAGATGGAGACTCTTGAAAGAATAATAGTCTTATGATTTAACAGGCTTGTCACAAATCTCCTTTATAATGTTGTTGCAATTTGATTTAGGTCAGAAGGTGAAAGTTCAGACTTAACCCTTCTTTCCATCATGCTTCAGAACTGTATATGCCCATCATGACTTATGCTAAGGAGTGAATTTCTCAAAGATTCTCTTCAAACTCTATCAGAACAGATACGTTCATTGTTACTTCTTTGGGAACCAGTGGCATGACCTTATTTTCCGGTTCTTTCACTTGAAAAGGCACAAACTTCAAGACATTGCCAAAAATGTTCTGAATTTGCCAAAACAATCAAGATTTTTTTTAAAAAGGTATTCTGTGTTTTGCAAAATATAATGCTAGTTCAAATCCAAAGTAAGATTAACTGAAGAATTAAATAGCTTTCCCCTTCCCAAAACACAGACACGGACAACTTTTCAGAACAGAGTAGAGATGAGCTCCTACTATTTTTTTCATTAAAAAAAGTCTAATATAAATATAAAAATATATATATTTTTGAAAGAGGGAATTGTAGTGGCTTCCAGCCTATAGGCTTAGTTTAGATCAGTGGTTCTCAACCTGTGGGTCGGGACCCCATTTGGGGTCGAATGACCATTTCACGGGGGTCGCCAAACCATGCTGTCCGCCATTTTTTTCCCTTGTCCCTAGCTGTCCTACTCCCTCTTATTGGTGGCCACACCCACTTCGGGGTCACCACAACATGGGGAACTGTATTATGGGGTCACGGCATTAGAAAGATTGAGAACCACTGGTTTAGATCCATGCACATTTTTTTTTCTCCCTGGTATCTATCAAATTTTAGTGCAGCAATTTATTTTTAAAATATGATTTCAGAGCCACCAGTTTTTGCATAACTACATTTGTAGAGATTTTGTAAATGTTTATATGGATAACAGCTAAAAGTAGTTCTCAACTTACAACAGTTCATTTAGTGACCGATTAAAGTTACAATGACACTGAAACAAGTGACGTATGACTGTTTTTCACACTTATAACCGTTGTAGCATCCCTCTGGTCACATGATTAAAATTCAGACACTGGATAACTGACTCATATTTATGACGGTTGCACAGTGTCCCGGAGTCATGTCATCTCCTTTTGCCACCTTTTGACAAGCAAAGTCAGTGGGGAAGCCAAATTCACCTAACAAGCATGTTACTAACTTAAGAACTGCAGTGATTCACTTAGCAACTGTGGCTAGAAAGGTCATAAAATCAGGCAAAATTCACTTAACAACTATGTCACTTAGCAACAGAAATTTTGGACTCAATTGTGGTTGTAAATCGAGGACTACCTTTATTCAATCTTTTAAGAATGAACAGACTCTGCACTTTCAGAGAACTGAAATTTGCAAAAAAAAAAAGCTACATATTGTTTAAAACCAAATGGCAGAGAAATTATTTTAATCTTCAGTGACTATATTGCATCTTCCTTGGTTTATGTAAACTTTTAGTCATGATTCCAGAACAGAGCTTCAGAAAGTTCTGTCCTTTTATATTTTTACTAGTGTCGGGAAGAAAGGATTGCTATAAATTCTTCCCCAGCCAGTTTACTTCTGCAAAGGAGATGCTTTGCTGCCTATTAACAGTTGCCTGAGAGTTATCTGCAGAATGTGTCTGGCTGTAACTTACTTATGATGAAGTAAGAGCCTATGATCTGCAGTTAATTTTTTAAAATCTAGTTTCCATCATGAAAGTAAATAGGCCAGATGGTTATTCAATTGTATTAAAGATGTAAATGTTTTGTTCTTCTTGTGTAAATGATACTAGAATATAAAGCAAACTAATCATTCAGAGTACACCATCATGAGATTATGTACCTCAACAATTAGACACAGTTATAATTTCCTCATTAGTCACTGTGTTATGGAGCAATTTGGAAAGTGAATAAATACATTTTCAGAAAAGAATAGCTCAGTGGTTAAGCACATTCTTTAAAGGTAGAAGATCTCGTATTCCATTTAGCCATCTTCAGTTCAAGGAAATAAGTTGATACCCCTTATACCACCTATGTGCTACCACCTGCCTCATTCAGAATCAGTATCAGGTAGCAAGTGATAAGCAAAATCTGGTTTGGGCTTTGGGGAAACTCTGCCAGTCAGAGTATTTAAAAAAAAAATGGATTAGATGAATAAATAGCATTGTAAATATTTGGACAGCAGTTAACAATGGCTAGGAAAGTGATGGCGAACCTTTTAGAGACTGAGTGCCCAAAAACTTCCCCCCACCCCCGCTCCGCCTCCCGCCCTGCCTGCTCCACCCCTACCCACCCCCTGCCCCGCCCACCCGCAGGGCCACGTACTGCCTCCATGGCCCACCACAGCAGATCACCCAGGCAGCCCTGCAGTGCCATGGCAGCCACGCCCTCCACCCACACCCCGCAGCATCATCTGCATGCTCTGGGGCGTGAGGGCGGAGTCTTGTCGCTGCTGCCTGGCTATGTCCTTGGCTGCGCTGCTCTGTGTTGGCTGTGCCCAGGGGCGACTCTCCAGGGGGCTGCTGGTGAGGAGGGGGCCACGGGGGGAGGCGGGGCTGGGGCAACGGTGCGCATGCCCACAGAGGGGCCTCCGAGTGCCACCTCTGACATGCTTGCCATAGGTTCGCCACCATTGCGCTAGGACATACTGAGTTCACAAATCATTCTAACTCATAGTTTAATCATGATATATTGAATAAGCCACAAGGTTCATACAGTTTATTGAGTCATTGCTTCTAAACCATAGTTGCTAGGTATCCATGAAGTAAAGGCAAATGGTTTAATGTACAAGTAGTCCTTAAAGCCACAATAGGGGCTGGAGAATTTATTATTAAACATTTTGGTCATTAAATAAGGCTTTATGTGACTTCAACCGATTTTATTGATTTTTTTGCCATGTTCATTAAGAGAATCATATGGTTGTTAAGCAAATCACAATGTTGTTAAGCAAATCACACAGTTCTTCCATTGATTTTGCTTGTCAGAAGTTGACTGGGAAGATAGCAGATGACAATCAAATGATCCTGTGGTGCTGCAACCAATATAAATACATGCCTGTTATAAAATTGTAATCACATGACCATGGGGATGCTGCAACAATTGTAAGTGCAAGGACTGATCATAATTTCAGATGGTTGCTAAAATTTGGCTATACTGTAAATCAAGGATTTGCCTGTATTATTAGGATAATGGCCATAGAAGATGCATGGGTTTATTTTTACATGTCATATTTATATTTTAGTTATCTAAGAGAAACTACCTATCCCAGATTGATTCTGACCACTCAGCATTTGCTAAATGTTCCCATCTACTAGGAGATGTAACTGATAGTGGATATTATTTTGTGGAAGCTTTCTTCCTATGCAACAGTCTGCCCCCTGAGTTAGAAACTGCCCCCAACCTAGGATAATGGTCCTGCAAACTTGTAAAATAAATATGGCTAGATAAAATAGGAGCTTCATCTTGACATGAAGTATAGTTTAGCAGTTTCTAATGCTCTTTCAGCCACAAAACCTTAGCCTGGCTCTCAGACTTGTTTGTTGTTGTGAGCAAATGGAGGAGGAGGGAATAGTCCTGAGCAAAAGGTGAGCTAGAAATCAACTAAAAATTGTTCATCTGAGTGTTTTGTTCTACATCACTATTCCCTAATCAAGAGTTTTTATAGCAATAGCACTTAGGCTTATATATTGCTCCATAGTGCTTTACAACACTGTCTGGGTGGTTTACTATGTCAGCATATTATCCTCAGCAATTTCAGTCTTCATTTTATCAACCTCGGAAGGATGGAAGGCTGAGTCAACTTTGAGCCCTGTCAGGATTGAAATTAAGGCTGTGGGCAGAGTTTGCTTGCAAGACTGCATTTAACCAGGCACTGTATATGTATTAAAAAAAAAATCAAGGAAGGAGATAATAGAGGAGAGAAAAATGTATAGATACTTACCTGTTCAAAAAATTTTTGGGGAAATTTCCAGTCCTTGGGCATCTGTGTGTATCAGAATTGTTGTATTTTAGCACTGCTTGTGGAATTCCAAAAAGCATATAGACAACCACTTTCAAGGAGTGTCATGTAGAAGGATAATAAGATGTGATGCTCAAAATGTATGGTTTCTGGTGAAAGAATTATAAGACGAACCAAAAATAACAGATGAAATGACTTAAACATGTTCTAGCAATTATCCTCAATGTTCAATGTAAACTACAAATATTTAAGTTAGCGGTTTGGCAAACAAATGGAAGGGAAAGAGAGAAACAACCCCTAAAAAAAGTCTTCTCTAATGATTTTTATTCTATAGTTTCTATTATTTGGTATTTTGTATCTTTAACTTTCTAAAAATCTATTAAAAGCTTAAATAAAAATAAACCTAGAACTTGTGGACTCATGCATCAGAAAATGTTCATATTTTACTATTGTTTCCAATAGTTTTATGTGGTGATACCAATCAGTTATAAAGATATTGGAAACTTTCCTGAGGGTTATTGAAATCCAACGACAACAGACACATACACACTGATACACACACATGAACGCACACAAATAAAATCTTATTTGAAAATCATAGATGGATGGTTCCAATCTCTGTGCTACCAAATCCATATGATAACGATCTTGACTCCACTGAGCTTGATTCCACGGCTTTTCAAAGCTTTGAAACAGACTCCTGCTGCCTCCATAATCTGGTTAGATGTGTAGATCTTGACTGAGAGGAGTTGAGGGTGAAACAGATTTCTCATGCCTAAACTCAAGAGCTGGAGAATCATTCTGCAAAGATGAATTAATCTTCTTTGGAAGCAAGTTTTTCTCTCCAGTGTGGTGCTTTCCAGATGTGTTGGCCTTCTTTTCCTATAATCCCCAGTTGGCGTAGCCCAAGACTATGCTGGCTAGGGGATAGCAAAAATGGTAATCAAAGACATCTGGAGGGAACCAGGTTCTGAAATGCAATTCCAAAGGGTCAAATTACATGTGATTTAAATTGCATCTTTGAACTCTGTGATAAGGATTCACATGATCTTTTTTAAACTAATAGCAGTGTGGGAGCTTCATCTGGTTTGGGTTGATGAGGTGGCAGAAAGAACGTAAGGCATATTCCTTCTGCATGTGTCTTTAGAAAACCAGTTCTTTCCCGACTTTTTCTTAGCATTGCACATTGTAATTGTGCATTAATTCTTATAAAATTTCTTAAGGCCATATATATCCCTGGGTATTTCTGTACAGATGTCTAATTTATGCTGTTCTAGGGGTAAACCTGACCTGCTGGTATCTTGAAAAGGGGGAGGTGGCCATGAGCCTAAGGAAATGTGATATTATTGTTTTACTCTCTGGTGGTTTTCTTTTCAGCAATAGATCACATCTCATCCTTTGTATGACTGATACATTAATGTCTTATGCTTATTGGGAGATTTTGTATAATTAGGAAACCTCTCATTATGCAGCCCTCATCACTGGAAAAAAGCCTTGATTGCAGATTTTCATAGTCCTTGAATAGGTAGAGCTGCTGTCACCTGAAGCTGTGATGGTATCAGTGCTACCTCCGTTGTGAAGCGAAGTGCCAATTATTTGTACATTTTTGACAAATGACTGATAAATTGCTATCCCACCCACCGTCTTCTAATTAGTGATTATGCAAAAAGCTATTGCTCTGAAGATCATAAAAGTATCAAATCATATACCAATGCTGAGTACATGCTGTGAAAAATAAATCCATGAAATAAATCATCCAAGACCCAGTTGAGCTGGATGGTATAGAAATTCTTAAAAATAAACAAATGCTGTAAAGGAAATACATATGTATTATTTTGAATTGGTATTGTAATAGTAATATTGCTCTCAGCATGCATTGCAAAATTACAAATTTTTGTCTATTACTGGTAGAACTTACAGTCAAGAACACACTGAGAAGCAGCAAAAGAAGAAATAGACATCAGCATAAAGAGAGAAAGATCCTGATTTATTTAATGATAGTCATGCAGTTAGGCTTAAGTAGGAGAGACTTTTCCTATCATACTCTATACAAGTCTTGGACTATAAATACTATCATTACCAGACAAAATGCTTTAGTTTAGAGCAATGTTTCTAAATAGTGTTTCTCAACCTTGACAACGTGAAGATGTGTGAATTTTAACTCTTAGAATTCCCCATCCAGTGCGAAGTCCACATATCTTCCTGTTGCCAAGGTTGAGAAACGCTACCTTAAAATAACAGGGTTTTTTTGTTATTTTGTGCCCAGATATTTTATGTTTATGCTCTACAGCAAACCCCAAATATTTATCATAAAGGTGACTAAGTACTATTGATCTTGCTATGATACAAATATTCCTAAGAAAAGATTAAATCTGCTGTAGATATTATTAAATAGTTATCAATAGAAGAGAATACATACACTTCAGAGTTGAACTGTGGAGTCTTTTGTGCTCTCTGAGCTTAGTTGTTTGCTTGCAAATGTTTCATTACCCAAGTACCCAACCTATTAAATAGATTATTATTAATGCAGAGGAAGGGTAGATCTACCTGCCTTCAAAAGAATTTGTTCTTCCTATCTCTGTAAGTAATATCAACAGTGATAGCATTGGATTAACTTGTCTGGACTTGAAAACTAAGGGTGGGGTTTGGTTAGTCCTTGGATGGCAGTCCATAGATTATTGGAAATAAACAGAAACCACCTCTCTCTGTTGCCAAGATAATTATAGAGGTCTATCTATGAGTTCATTAGGAATATATTTAGTCTGAGGGACACTTGACTTTATAAATTGGTATTGCTTTTAATTTAGTTTAGTTTGGTTTAGTTTAGCTTTCATTCAGTACCATTAGGGAAAAACCCTAAAATAACTAATTTGATAATAGAATATAATGTCATATCTTGACAAAAACAGTCTCATTTTAAGCACAATATCAAGCAGTTCTCAAATTGGCAAAAAGCCAAAAAGTTAGAAACATACAACCTAAAATAGTTTCTGTCAGCCCTTTGAGGCAGGCTAAACTTGGGCACCAAAATTATGAATACAAAATTACTTTTATTATAGGGTTAAGATAACAGAATCTTGAAAATTTGAAAGTACCTACCTCTTCCTTGCCATTATCCTAAAGAGGGCTAGGAAGAATTGCCTGAGAGATTTTCCTCAAATTACATTCCTGCTTTGGACTCAGATTTCTCTTTCCTGACCATTTTCTTGGCTGCAGCTCTTCTTCCTGTTCCTCAAGATTATTCTCACTACAGTTTCAGATCTGTATTACAATAAATCTATGAGAGGAAACAAGCCAAATAAACATTCTGAGGAGGCAAAATGGATGTTACTTAGAAAGAGATTTCCTAATTGGAGGGTCACCACCACTAAGAAGACATGCCAGTCATATCTACCAGCGCAGTTAAGTTTTCTTTGAGTAGTGTGGTTCCAAAAATAAATGGTACATGTTGACAAGTTCATATAGATATAGACTAATCAAGAAGCAGGTCCAGAGGAGTTATTTGTGGAGAAGCTCAGTCAAGATGAGTTTCTCAAGCACTGTAGCTAAGTTTATGTAATACTGTTAACCTGATTACAAAATTAATTATTTGTGCTGGGTTTCCACAATAAACTAATACCTAAAACCAATGACCTAGCCTACATTTGTTTACCAAATGGAGTACTAAGTTATAAAAAAAATCTAGCTAAATTGATTAAAATTAAATAAGCTAGTTCACAAGGCAGTCAGAGAAGGTTATATGTAAGGCAGAACTCTGTTCCTCAGAAATTAGATTGCATGTCAACAGCTGGAATTGACATACATCAAAGCTGCCTCATGCCAAAAGCCATGTGGTAGATGAAAAAGATCTAACATCTCAGATACATTCCAGCTGTCCTTTGTAGCTTTTAGGCTTCCTAGAGTCTCCTGTTATTTTATTGCTTCTACACTTTCCTCAGCTTTATGATGTATTTCTTAAAATTAAAAAAATGATGCAATTTCTTCTCAGATTTCAATATATTTTAACCATTTTTCCTAATCATAAAACTGATCTAGCTGCATTAGAAGATACTCTTTGTTGGGATGTTAAAGTCCACTCTTTTTACTGAAAAGTGTTCTAGAAACATCTCACACAAGGAAGCTGGTTGGCATGAGGTTTGACTGATTGTTATTACAGTTCAATTTCATCTACTGATTTTTCACATTCTTGAACAGTAGTCTTTTTTTCACCTGTTACCTGCTTATTTTATCTGGAAATGCCATAAATGGATCTATTTCTATTCAAAATACTATTTAACTGGTTCATCTCATCTCTCTATTCATCAAACCTATACGTAGGTAGTTATCCCTAGTCCATCATGTCTTCTTTTATTGGCAGTTTCCAACCTGGCCCTCAGACAAATGTTTCCTTCATGGTTTACTATGCAATCCTGTTTATGCTGTAGATATTAGAAATGGAATATGAATTATTCTGCATTTGAATCATACAGTTTGGGCCTTTATTTTCTCTTTGATATATTATAAAATCTGGAGAATCACCATATGTGTGAAAGTACTACTTAAAATGATGAAGGTGATATGGATATAGAGCCCCATTTCTTGTTATCAAACAGATTTTTTTAATCATGGTAGCTTTCCTTCATGGTTTTATTTGAGAAATTAAGAAAATCCAAATTGAATTCAGTTACTTTCATAAAATGACAATACCCAGATATCCTTGAGAAGTGTGACTACCAAGTTGTTTTACATTTTTTGTTTTTTTTCTATTTAAACACAGATGGTCAGGCAAGGTAAGAAAACAGAAAGAAGACCGAAAAAGGTATAGACAGCTTGAGCAATTCAGGAGACATTTAATGGGAACAAATACAAAGTTCTGTATCTGGGTAAAATAATATGAATAGTACAAGTATAGTGTGTGGGGGAACCATGGAAAGTAATTACTCCACTCTACTTTGCTCAGTTTAAGCCTCCATTTGCAGCACTGTGTCCAGTTCTTAGAAATGTAGTTAAAAAAATGTGGTAGACTGGAGCGAGTTCAAAGATGGACTTACAAGACAATAAGCAATTTGAAAACCAAGTCCTGTGATAAACAGTTAAAAGATCTGCGGGGAGACATGGTAATGGCCTTCAAATATCTGAAGAATTGTCACATAAAGGAGTGACCTTAGTCTCTATCACCTCCCAAGTTAGGATCAAAACCAATAGTTTAAAACTAGAAGGGAGTAGGGTCAGGCTAGGTGTCATAATGAGCCCTTGACTTTATAGCAGAGGTGTCAAACTCAATTTCATTGAGGGCCGCATCAGCATTGCATTGCTCTCGGGGGGCCGGGTGAGTGCGGCCAGGGTGGGTGTGGCCTACTGGGTGGGTGTGGATGGAGTGGGTGTGGCCTACTGGGTGGGCTTGGCCAGCTTTACACCGTTCGCATCAAGGGTGCCTGTGGGGGCCTGGGCAGGAGTGGGACAGATCTGAGGGTCTCTGGCAGAAGGGGGTGGGACCAGGGCAAGTGCCAAGCCATGGTCCATTTCTTCATTCCTCACAAAGGATGACACCTCCCTGGCATGCACCCAGGGGGCGGGGCCGTCACAGCAGGGGCTGGTTCCTCGCTGTTTCTAGATGGCCTTGTGGAGCTAAGACTGAATGTGTTTCAGCATAGATGGCCACCACAAAATTGTACATTGGCTCCCAGCTGGACTGGGCCAGGGCCAAGGCAGTGGGGGCCGTTCCCTCACTGTTTCCAGGATGGCTTCGTGGGCCACATGAAACCACTTTGCGGGCCGCATCTGGCTCCCAGGCCTTGTGTTTGACATGTCTGCTTTATAGGATCTTCATCCATTGAAACAAGCTACCACATGAAGTACTAAATTTCCCTTCACTGGCCGTCTTCAGTCAGAGTCTGCCTGGGCATCTATCAGAGATTTTGTAGTGGGTCCTGCACTGAGTCACTCTCCTTCTTGCTGTAAAATTTCTATGAAGCAGGTAACATAGCAATTTCTTACCTTTCTGAAGTTAGGTTAGCATATTTCCAGAGCCTTATGAATGTATTAAAGTTGTTGTGTGAATTGCAAAAATAAAATGGCTCATAGACATGAAATCAACACCTACCCCTAATTATCTGTAGGAGGAGGAAGTTGCTTCTTATGACAAAGAATAAGTGTCAGACAGAATGCAACACAGTAGGTGCAATAACTAAATATGAAACACAGTAATATAGTAATGTTCCTTCAATTCACAACAGTTGTATATTGTAGGCACCTAATCAACATAATTAGGATGCCAGGGCAGGATATGGTATTTCAGTCTGTCATTACTGTGAATTTCCCATTTCAGACAACTCTTTTCTTCATCAAAGAAACAGAGTATCCTTTAGCTGGTTCCTTTTCGTCTCAAACTAGGAAATACAAAGTCTTTTAAAATCATAGCAAGCTGCAACATAACAAGTTTGGCAAGCATACATTTAATGATGATGCTAATTAAAAAGGAATTCTCTTGTTAGGTGCAAATAGAAGAAGCAAATTTATCAAAAGATTTCTCAGTTTATAATGAAGCAATACCTTTATTTGGTCAGTGACATTTAAAGGCTAAAAGAGTATAATAGCTCAGAGATGAGCTATTAGGGAGTCCTAATTCCATTTCATTATCAGCTATTAACTTACTTAAGTAACCTTATTGCAAGCTATTAATTCAACCATTTATGTTATGGGGAATTTAACATTGGTTTACCTTACTGGACAGTTAAAAGGGTTACTGAAATAATACTAACCCAGAATTTTTATAACATTGACTTGTCGAACAAACTGCTGTTGGCAGGGTTCATATGCTCTGCTAAACTAAACTATCGTTAATACAATTGTGATTTCATGATAACCTTATATCTATACAAGTACAGAAATTCTTAACTTGTCACTTCTGCCACTTTGTTCTAACTGGTATTCCTTCCAGAAGTTCTGTATGGATTCAATCTTTCAGGGTTTTACCTTAATTCTCAAGAGTTTCTCAAGTATAGAGGGAGGAGGGGTCAAAACCAAATAGCTTCTATTTTAGTTGAATCCATCTGAATTCCTACAGAATTCTGAACAAGTCCCTACAGCTTTCTTGGGAATTTTTTTGGGAAATGATTTACCTTTGTCTACTTCCTAAGAGAGAGGGAATGTCATTCCACCTGCTTTTGTGCCTAATGTGGGACTAGAACTCATGGTCTCTCCGTTTCTAGTCTAATCTCTTGCCACTAGAGCACAATGGCTCATGTGATTAAAATGCTGGGCTGACAATCAGGAAGCCTGCATTCGAGACCTGAGTGATGGGGTGAGCTCCTGTCATTCACTCCAGCTCCTGCCTACCTAGCAGTTCAAAAGCATGCAAATGCAAATAGACAAATAGGTACCACTTCGGAGGTCACTTTAAAGGAGACATGAAAGGAGCCTAACCTGGCATCCCCTGATTAACAATGATGCCATTGTCTAATCCTTTTAACCCAGCAGGATTTTGGGCTTCCAACATAAAAACAACAATTAGACTAAATTGGCATTCTTCTGAAAAAAATACAATAGATCAAATAATCCATTACAGAAAAATCAAAGGAACAGTTCTGTAGTTTAGCATAAAGGCTGTGGCAGCAAGATCCTCAGTGTATAAGCAGATAGTCTAAATAAATGATAAGAAGTTGTATAAAGGTCATAAAATATGTGTAACCAAGGGCACATTGTCCAATTTATAATTTTGTTATTACATATTCAAACAAGAACCAAATGCAGTTAAATATTTATAATCCCCTTTCATGCAAATCAGAAATTCAGTTGGTAAAAGTGTTGCCTTTGGGAGCTTTTGTAGGAATTCTGAAATTGGGGGAAAGGAATAAAAATCCTTAATGTTTTAGAATTCAAGAACTCAAATTTGTGGGCTTTATACATATAAAAAAAAGAATACTAATGGGGAGGTGGAAAGACAGATAAAGCCTTTTTTATAAGTTGCCATCAATAACTTTTTTAGGTAGGCCATTTGTTCTGTGATATATAGAAATGGCATTTTCTAGGAATCTGAGCTACAGAAATAAGATTGATAGTATGATCAAAATTCAATTGGGGGCGAGTCTGTACTTTCCTTTTCCTTTTCTAAACACATCAGCAAAGTCTGCATATTTAAGGCAAGGCAGGGGGGAGTTCCTGCAGTGGGATGGTGGGGAGGAGATATGAAGCTCAGCAGGCTATATGTTTTGTTTGCCAGAGGATCAAAGGTTAAGTCCTCCTGGTCCCAATGAATATATGGATGGTAAGTCTGAAGCCAGGACTATTGGGAAATGTAACTGAGAGGCCAGATAAAGTTACAAGGGTTGCGGATGATGAGTAGAGGAGGTTCATTGCACTCTGTGGTAGATTCAGACAAAGGAGCTCGCTATTAATCATC